ATGGTCTAATTGACTGATCAAGTTCTAACTCTTTCTCTTGACTGATCTTTCGGACATCGAATATATAATTTTATTTTCCCGTGAGTCCGTCGTTGAAGTAATTCGAGACGCCGCGCGCCGATATGCGCGAGTCAATCCGCGAAAACAGATTTAAAGCGTTTTGAAAGTATCTGGACGTGAGACAACGACGCATACCTATTCGTGGTGTTCCATTTAGTCAAAGTATCTCTGGCCAGTTCCCTATGGCATTCTGCATTAAAATACCTCGGGTAAATAACCTGTCCTTGGTGAAAATAACTGTGCGCGTAACTGAGACTGCTTGAAAGTAACCAGAGTCCATTTGATTGATGCGGAATATTATGCTGTATTAAGGCGGCGAGGGTATCATTTAGAGTAATTGAATGTTTGAATGCAGTAAAACGTAGATTTTAGTAAATATCTATTACCGTAGTGAATAATATCCAGTAAATTATTCGCTCAATTATCTGCATGAGAAACAGTCCAACGATGATTAACAATTCTTGTAATTAACGTCTTAATAGCATTGCACCATATCTTATTTGAGTATCTCCGTATCGGCACGTGCACATTAGCCACGTTTCTTGATCTCCATTTTATTAATCTTTCATGTTCAGTATGATAACAATATATGTATATGTATACGTGTGCAATTTATCTTGAACATTCCGCAACGCCAGCTCTTTTCAACATGGATAAGAATGGTACATTTTTACGAACAGTTGGATCAATCAAAACGAAATTGAAATACCAAAGATATTACAGTAACTATCACGAAGGAGATAATCTATGTTAAGCGGAACGGTTTCGACATTAATCAGAGCGTTACTGCTTAACCGACATTTTCATTGTGTATTTCCCTTGCTCTCTCATTTTTTATTTTATCTTTCGTTGAGTTTTAAATTTTAAATTACTTGAAAAGTTTATGACTCATGCTTGATAAAAGCAGATCTTTTGTTCCGAAGAATTGTTTTATCGTTTTATTATACACAAGACTATACCCCCATTTACTATATGGTAACAAAATACGCCTAAGTGGATGTATGGTTAGACGATAACACGAGAAGCAGACAGTTTTTCCCTGCTTTTCATGGTCGTAAACTTTGGCAGAGAACTGCGCGATATGCTAATGGAAAACGAAACGCGGCGCCCTTTTGTTGCTCGACGAATATCCTACGAAGTTGAAAGTTTCTGGCAACACCGATGCGGTGGTTTCAGCCAGTCTGCACCGGAAAGGGTATTGGCAGGCTGAAATTTTAACACCGGGGAGGGAACAGCTGAAGTGAATGAACCTGCACTCTCCAGAGATCGATCGAGTGTGCGGCAGACGTTAATTGCTAATTATTCCCAATTGGACGTGCTCTGCGATTTTTTGTTTAGATTGTATCCACGGTTCTATGATTATTGTGATCGACGTCTTAAAACGATATTCTTAAAATATTTATGGCAAGCTATTGCTCACGTTGGGAATTTTTAGAATTCAATATTACAGCGCGTATGAAATGTCGAAGAACGGCGAACAGTGACAGAAATCAAGTAAGATGCCAGAGAGGAAACACGGAAACGGATGTGTCAGCAAGTTTACGAATTCTTACGGATCAATTTCGATACAAAACAGGAGTTATTGACTCGTGAGGCATTTATAGCAGCAGCACGGCGCGCGACGCGACGCGTGGTCGAGGTATTCTGTTTCTACGGGAAGCGAGAATTGAGACGGCATAAATTCAGGAACTTGGCAGCAAAGTGGCGACCCGGGGGAAGAGAGAATCGTCGGCGCGGCATTTCGAAGGGGTCGAAAGGAGAATCGCTAGAGCAGACGCCAAATGCAACGTAGTCAAGGGTCGAAAGAGCGGAGAGCAAAGTATTGATCGTTTGCTTCATTGCCAGCCGTGTATTTCTCTAGCCGAACAAGATAATGAATTTTATTTGAAATCATTTTATTTTTCTTTTCGGTCGGAATTTTTTTAACGAGGTTCATTAGCCTCGCTCGATGTTAGAAGCCCGATAGTTCGTGCTTCTCTCGTTGTAACATAGTCGTATAATGATGGGCATTCTGAGAAATGCGTCGTTAGGCGATCCTCTCATTATGCAAACAACATAGTGCACAAATGTCGTCGATACGGAATATTGCCCATTGTTTAGATTCGATTATCAATCTGCAGGATACATACGTGTACTTTTCTATAATAGTTCTATGAATGATTGTAACGCGAATGATTTTTTATTATCATATATTTCCGTTGTACTCGTTCATTCATTTTACATAAATAGTAGTCGGTATTACGGAGCGAAGACGAGTGACGCTGAAGTATTATATTAATAAGGAAACACTCGAAAGAAGTTGCTTTAGAAAGATTTGTAAAACTACTACGAGAATACGAACAGAGTACTTTCTGCAGGAAAATATTCCGTGTGAGAAAGCAGAAAGAGAGAACCCAAGAAAAACGTCTACGTTGGTGTAGGAACTTTTCATAACTCTCATTTAAATCGTATACGTTTTTCAACCGTAATTCTGGCTTCTGCTTGCGCACCAAGCGTTCCTCGTTATCAGAAACCAGGGAATGTCTGGACTTATCAAAAGGGTTTCTTATTTTAAAATAATAAACGTGTCTGGCTTTAACACAGTCAGTCAGTTTTCACTTAGACCATGACAGGCTCTTCGCAACCACGTCGTCGACGATTAGACAACTGAAAATCCTTTAATCAAGCGAGCAATTCCCGTGCTTTTCGTTTGCCCGCCATCCCCTTCCAACTGTTTGGTGCAATTCGCCGCGATATCGAACGGAACGCGTAATCCGGGCTGCGCATGCACGGGAAGAGACCCGTCGGAGCGACGATGCGATGTGCGATGTGCCGGCTCGTTCCAGAGACCGCGGAGCATCAGCTGCGGACCGATCCGAGACCGTGGATCGCGTCCCACGGGTCGAAATTTTTGGATTTCTGATCCACGTGCGAACGCGACTCGCTAACCGATTTCCCGCCAGATGAGGGACCGACGGGGGTGGCCACCGGTGTGCACCGGAAACGCGGCCCGCATTGCGCAAACCACTGTGGGGATCGAATGAAGTATTTGAAATCTGTGTCGGGGACTAGATTCCTGATTTCGTGCCACGGATCCATGTTTCGTGTTTGCCTGACAACCACCTACGCGACGCCGATAACGTTTAATGAATCTACCCTTTCCTGCAGCCCTCGCGCGCTCGCGTCTTCTACACTATTTACCCTCCTTCGATCTACGCTCTACTTTCGCTTACTGCGTTCTCGTTGAGCAGACAGAAACTGCGGAACGGCGGCTGTTTTTACAGTTCAATATATTCTTGCGTTGTGATTTATACGATGGTACAAGTTTCGAATTGATCTCTTATCGAAATTAATTCGTTTTTTTTCTAACTGTAATGGAATTACGATGGCTACTATTCAATCATTTGACTTGTTGATTCCGATCTCTTGAGTTTTGACGGATGGAGATGGATATAAATTAGTATTGACGAGGACAGTACGCGCAATAGGTGTCAAGGACAGAGCAGGACGTTTAATCATTGAGAAAAATAATTTTTTAGACTTTGGTTCTATAATAATAATAAAATAAAATTTATATCGAATGGAAGTTATGGTGTCTAATCGGATAATCTTTCTTGGAAAGCTTGAAAGAGATTCTCATTCGAGTCTAGAGACCAGACTGACTACGAGGTCGTAACCAGATTTTAATTAAGAACCAGAGAAAATGCGTTCTTCCGTTGAAAATGTGCTAGACTGTACGGAATTCTTTCAAAACCTGCTCACTTTCCATTCATTGCAGTCTGTAGAGACTTACCAGTGCAGACCTCTTAAAAAAGACTCGTTAATAAACCAGTGATCCTTAATAAAGCTCATTTAATTTATCGGATAGTATATTCATTAATTATTTACATCACACTCCACATGTCTGAAGTATTTTTATCAACGTTCCTTCTTTAATAGTTGCAATACTTATTGCTTTATTACACGTATTGCGTGTCTGCAAAGATCAGTGACCTTTATATATGTATATGGGTTAACTATGTTTCAAGGAAAATAGGTGTTATTACACTGTTTTCCAATATCTGACGCGTTGGAGAAAAATACGCGCGAGGTCAAGTTACTATAAAAAATGTACAGAAAGTTAAAATGATTACCATAAGAATGATTAAAATAAATTACATTTTCACGTATTATTTTAGCAGAATGTTATAGACTTTCTTCTACTGACATAATCAATATTTGCTTTGAATCGGAACACGTGGAGGTTGTAGTCACGCGAACTTGCCTAGAAAAATTTATGAGGAATATTTAACCGGTTCATAAAATGTTTAAAGGAAATATTCATATTTATGAAATTCGAATTGAAATGAAATTTTATTGTAACTTGTTTAGCTCTGCTACGTTTTAAAAAAATGTTCGCGACGAAAATCGGTGGAAGATAGGAGTTTTGCCAGTACTTTGAAATAGAATGGCATCGTCGACGTCCTCCGAGGCGTCGAGGGGCGCGAAGAAACGCACGAACTTATCTGGGCGATCGCGCGTCGTGAGTGAAAGTGTTGACGTTGAAAACGAAATCGGTCTCGCTTCGAATCGAAACGGCGAGGATGGGCGCGACTCCGGTTTGTCGTCGGAAAGTTCGACGCCAACCCAGGGATCGCCGCTGCCAAGGCAACGAAAAAGTAATCCGATTAATATCGTCAACCCTTTGCCGAGAGTACGCGTTCCACTTCACATTGGGAGGTACTTTCGGTTCTCGAAATCTTCAGATTTCAATTTTTCCTTGGGCCTCTTAATTATTTATATATTATTCTTTATAGCAATAAGACATTTACTTAAAGTTTTTTTTAAATTTGCTATACCATATCGGAATTTAGAATTCTGTTAATATACATGCGTGTGACATATTTGTATTTTTACTAATACTTCTGTTAGTTTCAATACTGTATCCTATTTTGCAATTTGTTTCTTTTGTTTTGTTTCAGAAACGAGTGTGATAAAACGACGAAGGCATGGCGAAGTAGATCTGTGACGGATTCACCACGTTCTCTGGATGGCACAAGGAATCGTCAATATTTCAGCCCTCTAAGGACATCAAGAAACGTAAGTACTTTCGTGCTTCGTAAAGTGCCACATTTCACAACTTTTTATACCAATCTGGTATTTGTACAGACATACGTTACATATTAAAAAAATATTGAACAAATTAAGTATAGTAAAGGCAAAGTTTTTTGAATTAAGTGAGATTTGCATCTACGTTTTTCTTAAAATTAAAATAAAGCAAATTTTGAAAGACAGTGACTCTAATATTGTATAAATTACAAGACCAGTTTTAATATTTGGTTCTAGATCCAATCACCGAGCCTAGACTCCGGAGATGAAGGGAGTCTACGTGTTGACCGCGACACTTATCAACACATGTGCCAAGACATTGTTTCCATAAAAACAATGCTCTTGAAATTAAAACGAGTATTTCAGGAGGTAGATTAAATAAAGCGTATATTAAAGGAATTCTCACAGCTTGCTTATTAATTGAAAATATTAGTTTTTAACAAGACACATCTTTTTTTTATTTACGCAAAACACGGTGCGTCGATGTGCTTTTGTATTAACACGCATTTTTCTTTTTGTCTTTTTCATTATTGTCGTCAACCATGATTTTACCTTCAAGTCAGAAGAGAACAGTTTGACGAGGGTACGTTGGATTTATGTTCTTTTATTGCACATCTTTTTTCTTTGACGTTCTCCTCTTTTTTTCATGTATCTGCTGTACATACATGTATAGCTTATTCTTAATTCCTAATGCAATAGAAAAATATCGTATAAAATTGCTATAACATTTTTGCGTTGTGTTCACAGGCAGAAACTCTCAACCCATTCGATACTTCTATAAAGGTAGGTTTTATACTTATTACCAAATATTCTTAATCCTCTCATAGATGAACACAAATAATATCATATCAGTAATAATACGAGATTACAATGCAAAATCTTACGTTATTATAGAATCAAGATTATATTGTAGATTTTATAGTTTCCTAAAGAGAAGTTGAAAAATGTATACATAGATAACCCATGCTTTTAACTTGCAAATCTTCGGGTAGTTGCAAAACACCAAGTAGAGAAACAGTATCGTCACTAATGCGATGCGGTGACGTAACGTATGCAAATGTTAACAATTTTAGAATGGTCTCTTCTACAACCTGAACGAAGGTAACACAACTGACGTTGGTACTTCTCCCGGTAGCGGAGGTAGTAGTATCGCGGATGAATTGGCGGATTTACGTAGGCAGGTGGTCTTCTTGCAAGGCCAAGTAGAAGATAGAGATCGAACTATACAAGTTTTACAGGTATGTAAACGTGGCGAAGATAAAGAGGCATCTTAGTTTCTAATCTCTGACACGTATCCTAACGTTGATTAAACATACTTTTTCAATTAATGGCTCACGTTGTTAATTAAGTCGTTTGTGACTAGTTATACGTATGTGTAACCAATACTGTTAATATAAGGAATAGCGTTGTTTATTAAAGTTAATCGCATGCAAACGGGCATTAATTATACTCTGGAGAAATTTCATAAAAGAATCTAATTTTTTTATTTAAAAAAAAATGAAGATACGTTTGGATTTTATAGTTCCAAGTATCGAAACTTCAAGGACCTAATGGCGATGGCCAAACATGTGCATTAACCACTAATTACAATAACGTTTCATCCACAAATACTTGCAATGCCGCTACGCAAACGGAGAAGGTACGTCCACAATTCGCTATCTTTCATGCCAGAAAAGTTTCAAGTTGAGTTATCGTTCAACGACTTGCGTCCTACCTACCGCGACACTTGCTCTGGAAATAGTACATTCATATCGCGTAGCTTTTACCCAGGTTTCCACAAAGTAGCGATGAACCACTGCACAGGTGACCAGTTTCTCGAGAGCCACGTTTTTAGTGTGCACTCTAGCTAAAAGTAATATTCACCGTGCTATTTACATATAGTATGTAGAATTATAAGTATTATTTTCTATCTATAATAGTGCGACATTTAGTTTATTTTAAGTTGCCCACTCATCATTCATCGCATTAGTTGATAAAAATCGTGCGATTAATTAAATTTAGAAATTGTTCAATTGCACAATTGTTGAAAGATCGACATATATGACATATTGATTATAAACAAGAGAGCGTAAATATCATTCCTAAGATGTCTCACATAAAATATGAAACAATCTCAGGTGACAGTTCGCATGTTCTTAAAAATGCATATCTCCATATGTGCAGGTGTACATTTCCAAATTAAATCTACTTGTAGTACTATTTAATCTGCACTTAATGAATAATTTCGGACATGTGTAGATATTTTAAATGTCACAATACTACGTGTTTTATCATCTTTCAATCTATCGCTGTTTTAACATAATGAATAATAAGATTGCTGCGTTATAATTATGAAATTTTTTTTAAACTTATCGAAGCGAATTTTCTAAAGTGCTGCTATTATTACTGTTATATTATTTATTTATTATTTGTTTAATTGTGGATACAGACACGTCCAGTGTCGGCAGGACCTTCACTCCTGCAAACACTACCGCAGGAAGATGTTATGGGGCCTCTAGTTAGGTGAGATTTTATTTTCTCTCCATTTTAAACGAGAAAATTGTTCGAGTATCATTTTCATCGTCATTTACATGTACGCGAAGTAGACAGCAATCAGAAAAAAGAAAAAACAGGGAATGTTTTTAAAGGAATAACAGTAATTTTGTATTGTTTATATTTTTAGGTGAATCATTACAAATTATGTTTTTCATACTCTTTCTGATATCTCTTTACTTCGCGTACATTGCTTAAGCGTTGCATAATGATTAAATGACATTAATCACAAGTTCAGCCTCGGGATTGTGATTTATCTAACGATGTACATATGTACTACTCGTAAAATATAAACTTTGTCATGAATAACGTATTGTTCTTGCTGCTCTGGTCATTACCTTTCATCGATGATTCCATGTGAGACAGCTTCAGGATTGGGAAGGTAGAATCGGTCAGTTTCTGTGACTTAATAATGGGATATGTGCTCCTTTCTGCCTTAAACGCCCTTATATTTGTGCATCTGTTCTACATCAAGATCACTTGTTTGATCATTCGACTCTGAACGTTTTCGTTTGCATGCAAAAATAGTAACGATTTCTTCTGCTTTTATTTTCCTTTCTCGCTCTATCAGTTGAATTATTTCGACTGTGTACAAAGTAAATGAACTTCGACCAGCTGTCTTATAATGCGTACAATGATGGCTCGTCTTTCATTGGAGTTTGCGATCGAATTTTGTCATTGATCTTATTATAAGCAAATTTAGTTTACTTTCAACAACTCGCTTTTTCATTTATATTATTTAATTAATGAAAAGAATATATTTTTCTAATCAAATATTAACAAAGGAATAAGTGTATAATTCGAATGCAAATCCTATCTCTAATTCTGAAGTATCTTAACTAACAAACGTCTGTTCTGAATGGAACTTTCATGTAAATAGAAAATATGTAATACGCTTTCAGATTATTTTGTAATATACTAACTTTCCTAGCGTACTAACTCTCCGAGCATGTAATTACAAGGAGATAAATATATGATTGATTGAAAAGTGCAACTTACCATTTCCTTTAAAACACTGTTTTGAGATTATAATAGATTTACAATTAATAATGTTTCATGCTGCGTTTGATAGCTGTGTGGGGTAAGTTGCTTATACCCTTAATTCTTCCTTTCCTATTTAATTTGCAATCAAAACACTGAACAAAGACAGAATGTGCGCTATTAAACCGGTTAGATAGAAGCATCGCGGAGAATCTACTAAAGTGTGGCAGTGCCTATGTAATCAGTGGGACAGCAAATGGGGCCTAATAAGGATTAGAACACAGTTGGCAATCGTTTTTTTCGGTGGTAATCGGCACCGAAGAAGATAGAGATACAAATTTTGTTTAAAACATTTTTCGCTAGGACGAAAAAAAGTTTCTGCAATAAACAATTTTATTTATTACTTAATTATTGATGCTAGCGAAAAATGTTTTAAATTGAAGTTGTATATAAAGTAGGATAGTGTTACGATTTCTATTTCTTACTTCGGTATATATTGTAAAGGGGCATAAAAAGTTACAGACTTTTTTGTGCGACACCAAGTCCCATAAGGCTGTCACTGTTTAGTAATTTCTCCTCGGTGATAGGAGTGAAGGAAAATACCGCGAAACCCGATCGCGTTACTTGCAGATGGAGTAATTCTTGGGATCGACACCGATCACCGTTGCTCGGGGAGCTGAACGGTAACAGAAGCTCTCGTAAGTCCACCGATCGTATACCGCGTACAATAAAATTCCGTCAGGAGGAGGGCGGTCACCGTCAGAACGGACTCGCGGATAGACCGTCTGCAGAAAGTTCGACGAGCAAAAGAACCGTTAAATCGAAAGACTCCAGGATCGCCGAGTCGAGCGATAACGCGGAACGGAACGAGATTAAGAGGGAGGAGGGTGTCGCTAAATCATCTATTCCCACGGCTAAAAAGATCACGACGTCGACCCTGATACCACGATCAGCGAGGGCCGTTACGTCGACGGGCCGATCGCACAATATGTGATTATGGATTAATTTATTGGATCAAATTTATTTCAATTTTCAACACGTTTACATTACGTCCTGATTCATACGAGGATCATCCTAATTAAAAATTTGATTGTTTTTTAACAGTTCGAATCTCAGACTCTTTTTGTCTATGTACAATTGTTTATGTGTTAATTTATTATTTCTTTATTTATTATTTAAACAAACCTGGCAAGTAATTTGATGTAATTAATTCCCAGATGAATCAAGGGACTGTAAACGTGTTTCTACAAACATGTCTGCAGAAATTAAGTTTCTACGTTACTTCAAAGATTATCATTTTATTTCTTTTTGTAATTATTCGATGAATAATGAAGATGTACATGCTCTTAATATAAATTCCGAGCAGTGTACAGATTTTACGTTGATAGTTAAGGGCAATTAATGAGTTCCTATCATTTAAAGTTTCTATAATATTTTATTTGGTTCTGTAACTTCACATGTAAAGAAACGGCACATTCATTATTCAGAACCGATCGTTAATTACGTTTCTCGCGTACTTAATAGGCTGAATAAGTTGTATAAATTCAATCGTAAGTATAACTCGTTGATTGATTTCTCGGCCAATTTAAAAAATTCATTCATCGTTCGCACGAATGAATACATATAAGTTTTAGCCTCGGACATGATCCGAGTAATGTTTGTGATACTATAATATGAATCTCTATTTATCTCATATCCTACAAGGATCGGTCAGTTCATTCAAATGGTAATCGCATTTATTAGACTTTCGAGCATTGTAAAAATTACGGTGCGCATATTTATTCGTATTCACGGTACATAAACGATTACGAAGCTTGGCTATAAAAGCTTGTTCTCAAAGAAATTGTTTAACAAATTTGGCAGTCATTTATTTCTTTTTATAATAGTAGAATCTAAAGTACACTCGCAGCGAATGCATATGAACCCTGTAATCTTCGTCATATGGCGTTGCTGTAATTACACGAAATGTATATTACAAACATACATACATATATAATATACATTTTACGATATTTGTATGTATGTTGTATGCTATGGTGTAAAACACCAAGCGTAATACTTTATGTATACGCTATAATGTTGTATATCACAGCATATGTAATTGCATTCCGGTGTATTATTGTAGTTTAGCATTTTTAAAGTGTACATTATATTCTTTTACAACTATCGTACGTAGAGTAGAGGCGCAAGATAGAGGATCGATCATTGTAAAAATTTTCGTGTCTTAAAACAAGGAAATTTATTAATTCTTTGACGTAATTATATATCGCAAACATTAATCTCGACTTTTGAGTTTCGTTGGAACGGACTTGACTTCACTGTATTATTTCTTTTATTCATTTTATGTACAAATCTTCGATGCTGATTAATGTGTTTTTGATCACCCCTAATTACAATGGTAAACTGATCGCTTACTATTTGAATTAGGGAGATTCTGTACATTTATTTTATGAGTAACTTGTAGATAACTTATTCCAGGGCTAATTTGCGAAGTCATATTTGGTGCTATTCAATTTCTCGTATTTTATTTTATCATATTTAGAATCTCCTGAATCATTGAACGGGAAAAATTATTAATTAACTTATCTTAACAAAAATTATATACGTTCGTAAAATTGCTAAACAGCAATACCTATGAATGAAATGTGACAATAACTAATGCTACGAATGATATGGATATTATAATTTCACATGTCTCGTTTCAGTTTAACTAACGTTATATGCGGCGTATAATTTTTTCCGAAAAATGAAAGTTCATTTCTCATTCAATTAATAATTTTAATACCAGGAGATGCTAAATATCTCATGCACATTGTACATTTTTATTCATATTTTGATTTGTAAAATGGTATTGTAATAAAACGAAATTACAAGCATAAAACTAAGTGTTTGATACGAAACTGGGCACGTCTTACCTTTGTAATGAAACACAGAAATATGTTTAAAAAAGAGAAATAGGAAAGGCAGAATATCTTTTAAACGACAGACTGATTACTACAAACTACATGATCCTACTTTTGAATTAATTTGATCAGTTCGATTATTATAGTATTCTTAAAACTTTTCGGAAAAGTTGCTTATACAAATTTTTATAAAACATACTTCATTTCATTTCATCCATCAGTCATGAATTTATTTAATGTTCTGAATTTGTTATATTTGATTTGAAGAGTATAAGCTTAGATGATTTATCGAAGTACGGGGTACTTGAATTTATACATTTCGATACGTTTTAGCAAAGTACAAGTTGACTTGTTTGACAGGATATGAATTAACGTATCTTCCATTTGGAAAAATTCCTATGCGGTTTTATAAGACTCACTTGAGAAGGGAATATAAATTATTAACTCTTTAAGCTGTTAATTTTAACAAAACTATTTACAGTATAATAAGGAAACCAATTTACATGCGATTCCCCTCGTATTCCCTCGTTTTTGAAAAAGGTACAAGTTTTTGACAGGAAATATATTTTTATGCATTGTATTTGTGAAGAACTAAACGTTTTCGATATTCTTATTGAAACTGTTTAAAAAGTGAAGAGTTAGATCAGGGGTGACGAACTGGCGGCTCGTGGTTCTTGCCCTATTCTCCCCTCCGGCTTTGGCTTCTCCTTAAGTGCCTGTTTACTATTCGCAGGTGATAAAGTGAAATATCGTATTTCATCGCTTTTTGACCCTTTGGCAACGTAAGTACGTGAGGGAGCACGGGAGATTTCCCTTGAAGAAATTTGTCTCACTCATCCCTTCGAGACTCGTTCGAATAGCAGCACACCTGAGTCGATATACATAAACTAAGGAGCTTCCGGGGGAGTAATCAGGCCCGTATTTCCTTTAAAAGAAATCACCCTTGCACCCTACCGGAAATATTGCTTGTCGGCTAAACATCTACGAACTGAACGGGGCTTATCATTCATTCCTCGGACGCTTGGTCGAATAGCAGAGCAGGGAATAGGCTGACCGATACTGGGGTACCCATAGCCGTGGCTTCCGTCACCCCTGAATCGGAGAATAGATCAATAGCTTTTAAACCGATGCAAATTTGCTTTATATGATTAGTTCGTAGCATAAAAATCAATATTTATTCCATTAATATTTGAAAACGCCTTGTTACTGTTTTTTAAAAATTGACAGTGATCGCATAAAGTTGCTAAAGAAGCGTTTTGCTAAATACTTGACATTCTTTTGTATATTAAATGAACTGAATATAAGCTAGGCTTGCTAGACTAACGAATTAAAGTCGGTGAACAGTCCGAACAGTGAATTAGATTATACAACAATATAAATGAGAGAAATGCTGCTGTTCCATGAACGCGGTAGTGCTGTATCTAAAATTTAGCTATAAGTATATTTAAATGTTTAATATTAAAGACGTAGCAAATACGAATCTGCTAGCATGTAAAGTCTCATTGTTAATAAAACGTAAGTAGAGTCTTAGTCTTATTTAACATTTACAAAATAACGTGTACGGAATAAAAGCTTCTGATTAAATAGAAACACCGATAATTTACGACCTGTAACAGGACGAGAGCCTTATTTTATTATGTACGAATGTATGCATATCCTTCTTGAATATAAGTCTTAAGAATGTATTAGCTATAC